GTCATTTCCTTCGTTGATTTAATCAGGAGCTGAGCAGTGAGGGCGAGGGACTGGGCCAGGGTGGAGGGATCCAGAGAGCAAGGATTCTTGGAGCTGGGCCAGGCCTTTCCAGAACCATCTGGGAGTTCCTGAGCACAGGCAAGGGGCTGGGCACCTCCCAGTCTTACGCCCTAGGGTGACAGGGGCTTGGAGGGGTTTGCTTGGTCCACTTTATTCTCATCGGCAAACAGACCAGAAGTTGAGCAGCCAGAAGGGCTGGGAGCTGGCAGGGTGGGGGGCCTGGAGACTGAGCATGGAAGGGCGTGGAGAGAACAGCCTTTCTGGAAACWGTGTCCTCTTCCTCCACCCCCAGGCCCAGGCTGGCCCAGAGACATGCCAGGAGACCCAGTCTCAGCAGCAAGGGGCCCAGCCCTCCTCAAACCCCACACCCAGCCCACTGGAGACTCCCCCTCGCTGGACCCCAGGCCCTGCCACCTCCCCCACCAGCACCTCCCTCAGCAGCCCAGGTAAGGGGCAACCCRGGCCAGGGGTGAGCTGAGGGCGAGGCCCCCCACCCTTCCTGCAGCCTCTCACGGAGGCCTCTCCTCTCCAGGGCAGCGGGACGATCTCATTGCCAGCATCCTCTCAGGTAGGGAGGAGCGCCTTGGGTGCGGGGCCACCTGGAGGGCACCTGCCCAGCCCAGCCCCTCCACCACCCTGCCCACTTGCACTCTGGTTCCCAGAGGTGGCCCCCACTCCACTGGAGGAGCTCCGAGGCCACAAGGCTCTGGTGAAGCTCCGGAGCCGTCAGGAGCGGGACCTGCGGGAGCTGCACAAGAAGCATCAGCGCAAGGCTTTGGCCCTCACCCGCCGCCTGCTYGATGCTCTGGCCCAGGCCCGGGCTGAAAGCAGGTGCCAGCACCCACCTGATCCCATGAGTCTCCCACAGACTCTGCCACCCAAGCCGTGCCTCCTGGCAGGAGAGTCGGGCTGTGTGCGCACATGGTTTCCATGGTGGGTGGGCGTGCGGAGCGAGAGGCCCCGACCCCACAGGAGTGTTTGGTGTATGACGGGACCCGAAGCTTCCCACACCAGGCCCAGATTCCTTCTCCTGGGGGTGACGTCTCTGTTGACGTCCCCCTGAGGAGTATTTGCCACACACCACTCCTCCTGGGTGGTGTCTGCCGCTGTCCCCACTGCCCTCCCGTGTGGTGGACTCAGCATYACCCAGAAGGTTCTCCCTACAGGGGTGGGGCCGCCGACGTGGAGGACGTGAAGGAGGAGGAGGAGGCTAAGAGGTATCGAGAGTTCCAGAACAGACAGGTGCAAAGCTTGCTGGAGCTGAGGGAGGCCCAGGTGGACATAGAGGCTGAGCGGAGGCTAGAGCACCTGAGACAGGTGAGGGGGCATGTGGTGGCCAGGGAGAGCCTGCCTCTTTGGTTAACCTGGCGTTGGCCTGTGGCACTCATTGGCTGCTGTGTCCCCAGGCTCAGCAGCGGCTCAGGGAGATCCTCCTGGATGTGCAYACAACTCAGTTCAAAAGGCTGAAGGAGATGAACGAGAGGTAAGGCGGAGACCCTCGTGTGGGTATGGCAGGGACTTCTGGCCCAGATGAGGACCGGACCAGGACCCTGCCACCGACCTTCCCCTACCGGCTTCTCTAGGGAGAAGAAGGAGCTGCAGAAGATCCTGGACAGGAAGCGCCACAACAGCATCTCTGAGGCCAAGACAAGAGAGAAACATAAGAAAGAAGTGTAAGAGTGCTGGGGCCAGGAGTCGGGTGCCCGGGCAGGCAGCACAGTGCCCAGGCCCTGAGCCCATCCCACCTCCCTCCTCGCAGGGAACTGACGGAGATTAACCGTCGGCACATCACCGAGTCCGTCAACTCCATCCGTCGGGTGAGTGCCACTCTAGCCTTGCCCTAATCCTTCATTCATCAGAAATCCCTCTCCTAGCCTGGCGCCGGGGCGCTGGAGTGCATGTTATCCCAGCACCTCAGGAGACTGAGGCAGGAGGATCAGGAGTTCAAAGCCAGTCTCAGCAACTTAGAGAGGTTCCAAGCAACTGAGTGAGATGAAAAAATAAAAAGGACTGGGGATGTGGCTCAGTGGTTAAGTGTCCCTAGGTTCAATCCCCGGTACCAAAAGAAAAAAAGAAGCCCATCTCCTTGGTGTCTGGCCTGATGGCACGCTGCCCTCCAAAAGCTGATAGGATCTTCCTCCAGGGTCCCAACAGCCCCCTGGTGCCTGCTTCATATCCAGGGACAACTGTCTGCACCAGTGCCCAGTAGCTTTGGAGCCCCCTGTAGGTCATGCCCAGCCTGAGCCCCAGGACCCTGACCTCCCTCAGGGTCCCTCAGCTGAGCCCTTGCCCACCTCACAGCTGGAGGAGGCCCAGAAGCAGCGACATGACCGCCTAGTGGCTGGGCAGCAGCAGGTGCTGCAGCAACTGGCAGAAGAGGAGCCCAAGGTAAGGCCCTAAAGGAAGCTGGTGGGCAGATGCTTGGTGGCCTGGCCTCCCTGTGACACCCGTCTTCCTGTAGTTGCTGGCCCAGCTGACCCAGGAGTGTCAGGAGCAGCGGGCGAGGCTGCCTCAGGAGATCCGATGGAGCCTGCTGGGAGAGACACCAGAGGGGCTAAGGGACGGGCCCCTGGTGGCCTGTGCCAGCAATGGCCATGCACCCGGGAGCAGTGGGCACCTGTCTGGTGTTGACTCGGAGAGCCAGGAGGAGAACACGCAGCTCTGACCTGGCCGTGCAAGAGGTGGCCACAGGGCCAGGGTGGGCGCTGGGCAGAGGGCAGGAGGTGAAGACACTAATGCTTTTTTTTTTTTTTTTTAACTTTTTATCTTTAGAAATTATATTTTTTTAAACCTGGGGCAGGTGCCCCACACTAACTCCTTTCATCTTCCCGGGGCCCCATTAACCCCCAGCCCCTCCTTCCTAACCTCAGTCCTAGGGAAGGGGCTGGGCTGGGCTGGGCCTTGCCCCCATGACACCCACACCCAGATGGGCGTCCTTCCCTCACTTCCCAGGGACCACACGGAGCTCTGGGAAGCAGGGGTCACAATCTCTATGCTTTGGGGATTTTTTTACATGAATAAAAGTGGATTTCAGGGAGCCCGTGTGCGGCGTGGTTGAGGACTCCAGGCCCGGGGTCTAGCTCTGCACTTCCCTTGGGTCCCAGCTTTCCTCTTCTATAGGTGTCCGTGGGGTCGAGGTCAGGCCCCCGTCAAAAGCTGGTGGGCTTGAACTTGGCTGCTTTGCAGTGACCTTCCTCAATGCCACAGGAGGCTCTGGTTTCCCCCAGACCTTCCTGCCTCTGTGCTCTGTGACCCCTGGGCTTGTGTCCTGGCTCTCCCAGTCCTCCCTTCTCAGAGGCACAGGCTCCTTCAGGAAGCCTTCCCTGCCCTCTTCCTGTTGCCTGATATGATCCAAGCTCCCACCACCTTCTACTGAGCGGCTCTGGGGTCCCATGCAGGCAGTTGAGGGGGTGGTGATGGATAGCCTGGTGGAACTGGGCTTTCATAAGTAAGCCAGTCAGGGGCCTGTCTCTGACCCCTGGAGATGGGAAACTGACAGTCCCAGACATTGTAGGGACTGGGACAACATGTGACCCCCTCATCCCTGTGAGGAAGATGTTCTGCCTGTTTTACAGATGAAGAAACTGAGGCCCTGAGCGGAAGCCAGGTGGTGCCAGGCCACAACTAAGTGGAGATGTCCTGACCTGGAGGCAGGGAGGGCCCAGACCCTCTGTGGCAGACTGTCTTCGGCTAGCCTGGAAGACCTGCTCCATGCCTCTGACCACCAAGGAGCAGCAAAGACCCCACAGCGAGGGCGTGAGGGCCTGGCCGGGCGGGCTCCAAAGCAAGGCCAGGCTGGCACCTCTTCAAGGCCTCTCCCAGCTTCCTGGCGCTTCCCGGGCTGGCTGCTCCCTCCTCCAGAGGAAGGCAGCCTCTTATCTGGGCTTATCTCCTGCCAATTGAGTGTTTTCTTTGCTTTGTTTTTGCTGCAGCCTCCTGCAAACAGATGGGGTGGGGAGGCCAGAGAAACCAGGCAGCCGAAGTAGGGCCTCCCCAGGGCTGGGACCTGTGCCCTGGGCCCTTCCTCAGGGTGGATACCATTGCCTAAGTGGCCCTCCTCCTGCTGTCAGACCTTGTCCTGTCCCCCAGTCTGCCAGTTCTCCTGTATGCCCATCCTGGCCCCATAGCAGTCAGCCTGCTCCCTTTCCCCCCGCCCGGCTGGCGGGCCTTTACTTACCCAAACACTCCATGTGGGTCCTGAGTCCTCAAAACTACCCTGTGTGCTACTGAGCCCCTCAGAAGCCTGGCCTCTACTGCTACCCATCTTTCCTGGGTCCCCTCATCCTCTTCTCTGCAATGACAGTTCCAACTTAAGCCCACCCCCTCCTGGCAGACCTCCCTGACTGTCCTGCCAGAGGAGGCTGACCCCTCTCTGGTTCTGGAAGCCTCTGGGAGCCAGGCTGTGGAGAAGTTCATCTGTGTACCCAGCACAAAGCACTGGCCTGGACTACAGGGGCGCCAATAAATCTTTTGGAACAGAGCCCTGAGCCCTGCGCCAGGTCTCCATGCGAAGCTTCTTGGTTCCCTAGTGATTGCGCCGCCCCTGCCCTGAGCACTCTGCCAGGTCCCCAAGCAGCGTTGGCCTTAGGCCGGCCACACAGTAGCCGCTTGAAAGTACTGACCCAAATAGGAACAAATGACCCCTCTCTGGGGAGCCACGGCATGGTTTACAGAGCGCGGAATTCCAGTGGCAGCCAAGCCTTGGTTCCCAATTACCATACTAGAGATAAGTGCCTGGCAGTCTTTGGGGCCCAGTTGCGTCGCCCCACCCCGAGGTGGATCTACTTACTGCCTTGACCCCTTCCCGGCATTTGTCCCTGGATGTCACCCAAACGAGCCTGTTTCCTGCATGTGTAAGCTGGGGCATTTTTTTTAAACATCAATGATAGAACCATCCTGGTCCAACCCCAAGCGACGTACAGAGGCGACGCGGCGGCACAGGTGTGACTTTTATTAGCATGTAGGTCGCTGGGCCCACAGCTTCCCGGCGGAGGGCCTTGGCGAAGAAATTAGGGTTAAATCCCGGCTTGCAGCTTGGGCGGGGCTGCCCAGCGCTGGCGGGGCGGCCAGCCGTGGGCGGAAAACCTTCAAAACTTGCGTGGACCTACCCTCTGCGCTCCCACGCGCCTCCCAGCTGAGGGACAGAAGGGTCCCSTCTGCACAGGCCTGCGGAGACTTCCGCCCACACCCAAGATGGTCGCCAACGGCGACAGGAACCGGTGGAGTTCGGGATGTGGGGACGGTCACTGGGAGGGGGCGGAGCCTCGCCTCCCCAAGTTCCGATCCCACCAGGACTGGATGAAGCGTGTCCAGCTGGAGCTTTGCCGCATCTGCGACGCTGTGCCCGCGCTCCTCGGGCGAGGAAGTCCCTTGGGGTGGGAGGAGGAAAAGGGTTAAATTAATCGGCTTACCCTGGCGGATCGAATCAAGTACCTCCATTTCCGGAACCCAGTGTAGAGGAGATCCGGGGAGATGTAAAAGACCACGGCCTCCAGCATGTCCTGTACCAAATGGTCAGGGAGCCAGCCACAGAGGACGCTTAGGCCCTCAGGAATGGGGACTGGTTAGAGCCAGAGCTGGGGACTGGGAAAATGCCTAGGGATCTAAGTGGAAGAGCCAAATATCTAGCACCTAGAAGATGGGACCGCAATTCAAGAATTGACGTGTGTCCCACGCGATGGCGCACGCCTGTAATCCCAGAGAGGAATTACAGGGAGGCTAAGGCAGAGGATTGAAAGTTGGAGACCAGCCTCAGCCATTTAGCCAGATAGTGTCTCAAAAAACGGGGGGCACCGGGGATGTGGCTTGATGGTCAAGGGCCCCTGGATTCAATTCCCAGTACCCCTCCCCCCCAAATTGAAGAAATATCCCAAGAGCCTCGATACCCGAAAGAGGCGGTCCAATGATTTAGGACGCGGAAGGAACTTGCGGGTAGGAGGCGGTCCGGGACTACAGGTCCCAACGTGCCCCGGGATATGACAGGACCTGGCGGGTAAAAGGTGATCCGGGACTACAGGTCCCAGCATGCCCCGGGACAGAAGGCGGTCCGGGACTACAAGTCCCAGCATGCCTTGAGACGTGAAAGGACCTGGTGGGGGCAGGCGGTTCGAAATACAGGGCAACGCTTGCCGCATGCCGCAGGGCCAGCGCTCACCTTAAAGGAGCCCTCGAATTCGTCGCTCATCCTCCGGAGCTCGCGGCCGTAGCGCTGTGCAGCCCAGAGATTGGGGGGCGCCGAGCGCGAGCGGCCGCGGAAGGGGCTGGGCTCCTCTTCCATCCCTTCATCCAAATCGGTATCTGCGGGGTACGAGCTGTGGCGACTCCGGGTCTCCGTAGCCCCAGCGCCTGCAGAATGGTTAGCGGGTTGGGGCGAAGTAAATCTCTGCTCCTCTGCGTCCCCCTAGCTGCGAAACCCTCCTGGGTAAATGGAAGGAAGCTCGGGGGCTTTTGTGGGAAATCGAGTTAAGGCCTCACTAAACCCGCACATCTTTGCTAAGTGCCAATAAGGGTCGAGGCCTTTTAGCCCATTAAATAAATGATTTTACACTGTGCTTGGAACTAAAGAGGCAGTGGTTGTAATTACTAGGATTAGGGAGGCGTCCTGCACAAGATCTGCAGGGGTCTCCAGAGGATGAGAACCTGGCAGCAACACTGATGCATCCTTTATCACACCTGCTTTGAAGAAAATGTCCAGAACTGTTGACTTTTATTTTTCTGTTTTGGTACTGGGGATTGAACTCAGGGAGGGACACTCGACTACTGAGCCGTATACCCAGCCCTATTTTGTAGTTTATGTAGAGACAGGGCCTCACTGAGTTGCTTAGCATCTCGCCATTGAGGCTGGTTTAGAACTCCAGATCCTCCTGCTTCAGCCTCCCAAGCCGCTGGGGTTACAGGCATGCACCATTATGCTGGGCTGTTTGTTGACTTTTTTGATGTGCCGTTTATGGAACACTTACTATGCATTAATTCCCTCCTAATCTTCCTACCCACCCTGAGAGTTGAGTACTACCACTGTCTCCGATTTACGGATGAGATGACCGAGGCTTAGAGAAGACTTATAAGCCCTGAGGCTCGAAGTCCCTAGGTTTGATAGAATCCAGGGTCCACTGGGATGGACCTCATTCCTTGTCCAACCATCTTTAACTCTGATGAAACAACTTCCTCACCTTCACGAGGGCCTAATCCTAGCCTTTACTCCCAGCAGGTGTAAAAGAGTCACACCTAATAAGGAGTRTGGAGATGCTCTGTGAATGGCCAGCACTGTAGGTCAGTATATTCAGAAGGATCTCTGTTGTGAGGTCTGATCTGGGTACCATGTGCCACTCTTGACTCCTGCCAACTATACCTTGCTGCTCACACCAAGACCTAGGAATACTTCCAGGAGCAGAAAACCCAGAGCTAAGACAGCCTGGGGCACACACTTGGCATTCACAGACAAGGATGTCGGTCAGGAAGTCTTTGGAGGAGGGAAGATTTAGGCCAGGTGTGGAAGCTGGGGTGTATCAAACAGAACATCTCCCCTCTCCAGACAGACCCCCCGCCCCCACTTAGAAGATGGTGGGAACCAAAAAGACCCACCCTGAGGTCAGGCAAGGGTACCTCAAACCCTCAGAAGAGCCAGATGGAAGTAGCTAAATCAGGAATCAACTGGGATGGGGCTGGAGTGCCAGGAACAGAAAAACTCCTGATAAAAAATGGGCCTCTCCAGGGCTTGAGTTGTGGCTCAGCTGTAGAAGTGCTTGCCTCGCATGTGGAAGGCACTGGGTTCGATCCTCAGCACCTCATAAAAATAAAATAAAGGTATTGTGTCCATCTATAACTAAAAAAAAAAATTCTTAAAAAATGGGCCTGCCTGCTTTTCATGTGGGCAGTGGAGCAGGGATCAGTAATTCTGTGGGTTCAGCCAGAACCATGTTCCTGCTCCGGGACCTTGAGCCCGTTGGGGTCTTAGTGTATTTCTCTGTGAAATGGGGGCAGTCCCTGTCTCCCAGGACCACTGGGAGAACACAGGAGAGCATCCCACCCTGTCCTTGCACATCCCCAGTGAGGCAGACACCAAATCCTCCCTATCTTACAGATGAGGAAATAGAGGCACTGAGAGGTTAAGAACTTTCCTGAGTCACAGTGGCACACCCTGCCTGCCACCAAATGTCCAGGCAATGTCAGCTTCTGAGAACTCAACATTTGATACGTGCAAGTCACCTGAGTGATGACTTTCCAATGAGTAGTGCTAACACTATCACTCTCCCAGGAATTAAGACAAGCAGAAGAGGCCTGGAGGATAGCTCAGCGGTAGACCACTCACCTAGCACGCTGGAGGCCCTGGGCTGGATCCCCAGCACCACAAACACAATGAAAAACAAGCATAAGGGGCTGGGGATGTAGCTCAGTTGGTAGAGTGCTTCCTCACATGCACAAGGCCCTGGGTTCAATCCCCAGCCCAAAATAAATAAATAAAAGCATAAGAACACGGGCTAGGACAGATTGGATGTTTCCAATGTATGAATTCATTTAGTCCTCATCCTGTGCTAACAGGAAATTTCCTCACAGTCACCATTTTACAGAGGAGGAAACTAAAGCAGGACAGGGTAATTTGCCCAAGATCATACAGCAAGTGGCAGGGATAAAGCCAAGTGTGGTGGCGCAGGCCTGTAATCCCAGCCACTCCAGGAGGCTGAGACAGGAGAATTGCAAATCTGAGGCCATCCTCAGCAACTTAACGTGACCCTATGGACTTAGCCAGACCCTTTCTCAAAATAAAACAAAAAATGGATTGGGGATATGGCTGAGTGGTTAAGTGCCCCTGGGTTCAATCCCAGGTACCAAAACAAACAAAAACAGCTCAAAGCCTGTACTATGGGATGGAAGATTCTCAGCAAAGCCATGAATTTGGCAATATCAAAATGATGCCTATTTGCATAAAATGAATTATTATTTTGTAGTACTGGGGATCAAATCCAGGGGTGTTCTACCACTGAGCTATATCCCTAGACTTTTTTTTTTTTTTGTACTGAGGATTGAACCCAGAGCAATTAACCATTGAGCTACATCCCCAGCCCTTTTAAGTTGTTTAGGGTCTTGCTAAATTGCTGAGGCTGGCCTCAAACTTGTGATCCTCTGCCTCAGCCTCCTGAGGAGGTGGGATAATAGGTATGCCTCACCATATTTAGTTGGGAAAACCAAAAGTATCTGTTTACTGGGGCAGGGGGGCGGATCCAGAAGATTTTCTGTGAACTCCCTAGGGAAAGAGGTCAGGTGTGCCTAAGCCAATTTCCCCTCWAGGGGAAGGGAGTGCTAGAGCCTGGGTGGATACCCAGTCCTGCCCACTCAGGCCATCCACCTGGAGTTTAGCCTGAGGCAGGATAGGGTGTGGGAGGGGACTGTGGCCTGGCAACTCACCTCCAGCTGTAAGCTCTGACTTACCCCCCAGGCTTCTGGGCAGCAGGTGGGGCCCAATACTTCCACCTTCCTGCGGCCACAGGCTCCCTCATAAAAACAGAGCAGTTCAGGCACTTAGAAGCTGTGAGGCTTCCCCACTAGGCAGGGCCAGGCCCAGATCCCATCTTCAGGATGCTAGGCCTCGCAAGCCCTACTACCCTGCCCTAGGAGGCAGAGGTTGTGGCCCCAGTGCTCTGTCCCACCCTGACCAGTGGCCTCACAAGCCATCAGCACCCTGTAGCCCCTGTGGGCTTAGACAGCAGGCCCCCACCCTGTCAGAGGGGATGAAATCAGAAAGCTCTAAGATGGGGGATGGTTACTATTTTCTGTCAAGAGCTAGGAAGCAAATAGTTCAGGTTTGGTGGCCACAGTCTCTGGGACAATTATTCCACTTTACGCTCACAGCTTGGAAGAAGCCACAGCCATACGGAGCTGACGGTACATTGCGGTATTCCACTACAGCTTTATTCGGGACACTGAAACCTGAATTCTATGTAATTTCCCTTGTTAAAAATACTGTTCTCTGGATTTGTGTCCACTATTTTAAAAAGTGAAAAATCGCTAGATGCAGAGCCACAGGCTGTAATCCTGGCAACTGAGAGGCTGAGGAGAGGATAGTAAGGTCCAAGCCAGCCTCAGCCACATTTAGCAAGATTCGTTCTCAAAATAAATACCCAGCTACTTGGGAGGCTGAGGTATGAGGGCCATTTGAGCCCTGGACATTCCCAGGTGCCCCAGGCCCAGCAACTGCACCTCCAGCTTTAAGCTCTTCTCGGCCCATTCTTAGACACAGAGATTTACCAGAGGCTGTGGTCTGCCAGCCCCTGCTGTGAGCCCAACTTCAGCCATCTTCCCTTTAAACCTCCAGTGGGTCCTACTGAAGGTTTTTATTGAAGGCCACGGAGACACAGGGCCGCAAGTGCTTCTGCACCTTCCCCTCCGCACTGTTGGTAAAAGGCATCAGGTCCTTCCTGCAAGGGAGGCCACCTGAACTCCCCTTTAACAATCCAGCAGGAGCCCAATGGCAGGAAGTAGAAGGGCAAAGAGATCCAATGTGAGCTGCCCTGCCCAGGTAGAAGGTTCCAGGCCACACAGTACAGGCAGGCCACTGGCCCTTGTGATCTTTTTTTGGAAATCACTTGCTTTTAAGAACTGATTATTAAATCAAACAGAAACATTTAAACTGGGTGTGGTGTCACTAGCCTGCAATCCCAGCTCCTCAGAAGGCTGAGGCAGGAGGATCAAAAGTTCAAGGCCAGGGCTGGGCTATGGCTCAGTAGTAGAGTAGTAGTAGTAGTAGTAGTAGAGGGCTCACCTACTACCTGTGAGGCACTAGGTTGGATCCTCAGCACCACATAAAAATACATTGTATGCACCTATAACTAAAAAATGAGTATTACAAAAAATAAAAAATAAAATAAGTAAAATATAGGGGGCTGGAACTCTAGCTCAGTGGTGGAGCACTTTCCTAGCATGTATAAGTCACTGAGTTTGATTCTCAGCAAGGCATATAAATAAAGAACAATAAAGCCCCATTGACAACTAAAAAAATATTATAGCTGAGCGTGGTGGCACACACCTTTAATCCCAGCAATTTTGAGAGGCTGAGGCAGGATGATCCCAAGTTCAGGCCAGCTTGTCTCAAAATAAAAAAATGAGAAGAGCTGGGGATATAACTCAATGGCAAAGTGTCCTTGGGCTCAATCCCAGCACCAACAGAATTTTTAAAAAGCTGTGTGCCAGCCTGTCATCCCAGCAGCTTGGGAGGCTGAGGCAGGAGGATCAAGAGTTCAAAGCCAGCCTCAGCAAAATCAAGGCCCTAAGCAACTCAGTGAGACCCTGTCTCTAAATAAAATACAAAATAGGGCTGGGGATGTGGCTCAGTGGTCAAGTGCCCCTGAGTTCAATCCCTATTACCAAAAAAAAATTTTTTTTTCACTCAAAGTCCCCACAGACTGAGTGGGGCCTCAACTACCCTTCCCCACCTCCCTCCCCTGGGAGGCACACTAGCTTGAGGCAGTTTTGGCACCTGGGCCTCCCCATCTGCTCTTCCCTGTATCTGGAAAGGTCTTCCCACAGACATCGGAATGGCTCACCCATAGCCTCTTCCAGCCAGGCCTCCATGTGGCTTCTTCCCAAGAACCACCCCAGTGACTCTGCCAGCCCCCAGGACTGTGCTTCTCTGTACTCTCTTTTGTGCTCCGACCCCAGCACACACCATCTTCTAATGCATTCCGTGTTTCCAGCCCATCTCCCCCACCTCAGTAGAATGCGTAAGCTCCACAGGGCAAGGACTGCTTCCCGCTCACTGAGGCACCCCAGCAGCCAGAAMGGCATGTGGCACATATTAAGTTCTCACCATGCAGCAGAAGTGAGGGCTGAGGATGGGGAGGGACAGCCAGGTGGGGGTGGAGAACGGAGTGGGTGTGATCAGAAAAGCAGCAAGCTGGAGATATGGATGTTAAAGCAAGTGTGGGAGGCAGAGCAGGAGCCACAAATGGGGAGGGGGTTGTTCAACTTCAGAGGGCCATGACCTGACTTGGCTTTCACAAGACCTCTCTGTTCCAGGTGCCAGCCTAGTGCCAGGCACCAGGGAGATGTAGGCTACTGAGAAATGCCCAGGCCCTCCTGTGCCCATCCTTCCATATGACCCCAGTGTTTCCCAACTCCCACACCAGTCACAGAGCCTGGGAGGGCTGTCTTCCACTTGGGGATCAACTGCCCTTCCCTGGTACAAGGGCAGCTCCCTATGGGTGAGCCTCAGGGTGGAAAAGCACACACCTACCTGGTGGGAGGCTCTATCCCAGGGAAAGGTGGCACCCTGTGGCAGGCATCAAGCAGTCTTCCAACCCACCTCCTATTTAGGTAATACCAAGCACGAGTGACCTTAGGAGAGTCACTTCCCTTTCTGGATCACTGCCTGCCTTTCACCGATTTCTGTTCCTGGTCCCATAACAACAGATGCCCTTTTTGAGCATTTACTATGCACCATCTCTATAATCAATGCCTTCTGCACATTCCTGCCAATTAACTCAATAGTACTACAAAGTGGTGGTGATTGTTTGGCTTGCAGAAGAGGAAACCGAGGCTCAGAGAAGTTAGGAACTCCCCTCAAAGCTTTCAGTGAGTGTGGGTGCAGCTGAAGTATAGGGAGTGATTGGGCTGAAGGCAAAGTGGATAGGCAGGTGGTGTCAGTGGTGGGGAACCTACCTCCATGGTTGCTGCTGCTGGTTGCCTGCCGCTGCTGGTGACCCGTGTCCCTGGGGAGGCCTGGAGCCAAGCCGCAGCCTGGTGGTTGATTCTTGTAGGGGCCTGGCCGGTCCCCTGCGGGGCTGGGGCCCAGGCCCCCTTCTGCGGAGCTGGAGTCTTCCTGCTCACTGGGCTCAAACTCTGGGATCTGGAACATGCTCTGGGCTGCGAGGACAAGATGACAGGTAGTTAGGGTGCAAAACTGGGGAAACGGCGGCGGTGGGAGACAAGGGACAGTTGTCCCTTTCTCCCTCTAATACCTTAGCTCATTTAGGCCCGCCGGTCCTTCCAGGCCCTCATCTATCTACTGCATCTGGTCGGGCAGGGAGCTCAGGGAGTTGCCCAGGACCTAAAACTCCCCTTGGGGCCCAGGTGCTCGGGAGCAGCCCCAAACCCCTACCTAGGCCCCGCCCCTCCCCGCCCTGCCGGTGGTTTGGCGCACAGGTCTCACCCCAAGCCCGTTCTCAAGGCCCCTGACCCGGGCCCGCCGCCTCCCTCTAAGCACTAAAAGTGCCCGGCCCAGGTTTCCTGGGTAACGGGAACTGTCACCGACCTGGTCCAATCAGCTCTCGGAATGAATCGCGGGTTGACCCGGAGGCGGGGCTACTCCAGGCCGGGTGCCACCCTCGCCGCCGACCTGCGGATCCTACCGCCTTCCTCCCCGGTCCCTCCTTCCTCTCCGGTCGCCCTGGCTTCCTCGCGCCTGGAGCGTGCGTGGAAGCGATGAGGGCTTTTTCTGGGATCCCCATTTGGAACCTGGAGGCCTGCTTCTGCGGACGAATCCTTCAGCCCCCCAGGGCCTTAATTTCCCCCGTGTAAAATGGAGATAATGACACCTCCCTCGGGGGCCGGTGAAAATTTTGTAAACAGAGTGGTGATTACTGTGGATGAAAGCACTTTGTAAAGCCGTAATTGACGCTCAGCCGTCGGATGCAATTATTGCTGCTGTTATTGCTTCGCCTGGACCGGGTGATCGGTCGGGAAGTCCCACTCTCTCCTCCTCCTCGCGCTGCCCGCATCTGGGACCCCTCCCAGCGCCATCTCGGGAGCACTTAAGATAAGAGAGGGCGCCTCCTCTCTGGCAGGATGAATGCCCGGGCGCGGGAGAAGCGGCGGGGGCCCCTGTGAGAGCGAGCCGTGGGGCTCTCGGAGCTCTGCGGCTGGCAGACAGCGTGCAGGAGGCCGGCCAGGTGAGCGGGCCGGTGCCCGGGGTTGCAGGCCCGCCGGGGGCGTCCGGAGTCCGGGGGTCGGGGCTCAGGGGGCGGGGCCGGGGGCCATCTTGGCTATGGGCGGAAGTTTCCTTCAGAGACTCAGTGAGGGGAAGTGGTTGTCGCCCCCACCCGGGCGGCGTGATCCTAGTTTGAGGATAGGGTATTTAAGCGTGGGAACGGGCGGTGTTCCTAAGAAGCAASGGCCGGCAGCCCAAGGCACGGCCCATCCTGGCGCACGTTGGGTGCGGCGGTGCCTCGGCGTCTCAGCCGCTTGCCGGCTCCCGTAACCCCGGGCACCCGTTGGTGGCGCAGCCCGCGCCGATTCTAGAAAGGTTCCACGCCGGGCGCGGCGCCGGGCTGCGGAGCCAGGGCCGGCCTCTGCGCAATTTGCGTAGCGAACGATGCCCGCGCAGGCGCAGGAGGGGGCGGAGCAGCGGGAGCCGGGGAGCTGGAGCCCCGGGTCCCGGCGACCGGAGCCCGCTCCCCCAGCCGCGGCCTGAGGATTGAGCATCGGCCTTTCCTGCCCCCCGCGGCTGGAGGGTGGAGGCGGTGGGCGGGGGAGAACGGCTGGATTCTCAAGGACCGACAAAGAAGCCCCCATACGGATTATTGGAGGAGAGAGAGCCCCCAAGCTTGGGGAGGGGGAGAGCCGGGCGTTGGGCGCCCCCGCAGCGATCACTGCCCTAAGCTGACCGGTATCTGCCGGCTCTCCCCCTCCTGCCAGGCGGACTTGAGCGACCAGAGCCAGGGACTCCTCTCCTTCAGCCTCTGCATCCCCGCATCCCCCTGGCTCTGAGGCCAGCCCAGGGAGAGACACCCCAACCCCCCACCTCCTTTGCCCAGGAGAGGACTGCCCTTCTACATCCCAGAGCCAGGGGCCCAGGTTGCCTGTGTCTCCCAAGGCAAGGGTCTTTCTGTTGAGGAGGAAGGCCCTGGCCAGCCACAACTTCTATCCTTCTGAGTTCCCATCTCTTGTCACTGCACCCTCCGTATTTATTTCCCTGCCCCCTTGCCAGTCCTCCATCTCTTTCTCTGGGATTCAGGCCTCCTTCCCTGACATGGAGAGTAACCTGTCTGGCCTGGTGCCTGCTGCCGGCCTGGTTCCTGCCCTGCCGCCTACTGTGACCCTGGGGCTGACTGCGGCCTACACTACCCTGTATGCCCTGCTCTTCTTCTCTGTCTATGCCCAGCTCTGGCTGGTGCTTCTGTATGGGCACAAGCGTCTCAGCTATCAGACAGTGTTCCTGGCACTCTGTCTTCTCTGGGCCGCCCTGCGTACTACCCTCTTCTCCTTCTACTTCCGTGACACTCCCCGAGCCAATCGCCTGGGGCCCTTGCCCTTTTGGCTTCTCTACTGCTGTCCTGTCTGCCTGCAGTTCTTCACACTGACGCTCATGAACCTCTACTTTGCCCAGGTAATTGTGGTAAGGGGTGGGGGATGAGAGGGGCAAGTCTCAAGAGCCCAAAGGAGTGATGAGCATCTCTGCTCTCAGGTGGTGTTCAAGGCCAAGGCGAAGCGTCGGCCAGAGATGAGCCGAGGCTTGTAAGTATTGGGGCACTGGTGGGCTCAGCCCCAGGTCAGGGGCAGGGAGAAGCCTACTTTTCAGGGCTTAGGCAAGAACGACACAGGGAATGTTTGTGAAAGAGCTTGGAAAAGCTAAAGCACCTGGCACAGATGGCTCAGCAGAGGCTTGCATACGTGAGGGTCGACAGTAATAGAAACAGTTGTATACTGTGAGGGGAAAGGACACCAGTGTCATCCATGATGGAGAAAGAGCTGGAGGCTCCAACCCATGGAAATCACAAAGCCCAGGTGCATTTCTGGGTGACCTTGGGCTGCAGTACCCCTGTCACTGCACATTGTCTTCCAGATCATAAAGAACTTTCACAAACATCTTTCTTTTAACAACTTACCTAAGAAGTTCTTATCTTTATTTGCAACTTGAGGAAACTGAGGCCCAGCCAGATAAAGGAGCGTGTTCAAGGTCACAGAGCTGGCAGGAAGCAGAGCCAGAGCTCAGATCTAGACTTCTGACTTCCAATCTGGTGTTTCTTTGCAAGATGCCACAGCTATCCCTCACCTTCTGACCTCTTTGGGCCTCAGTTTCCCAATCTGTAAAACTGGAAGAGCAGGTTTCAGCCTGGATGATCTGAATTCTGACAGACACTGGGGTCTCCTGAGGGCGGTAGTGTGGTTGGTGAATGCCAAGGGCAGTCCATGGTCTGAGGCTGACTGTGCTGTGGGCTGCAGGCTGGCCGTCCGAGGGGCTTTCGTGGGGGCCTCGCTGCTCTTTCTGTTGGTGAACGTGCTGTGTGCAGTGCTGTCCCGCCGGCGCCGGGCACAGCCCTGGGCCCTACTGCTGGTGCGCGTCCTGGTGAGCGACTCCCTCTTTGTCATCTGCGCCCTCTCTCTTGCTGCCTGCCTCTGCCTGGTTGCCCGGCGGGCCCCTTCCACTAGCATCTACCTGGAGGCCAAGGTAGGGCCACAAGTCCTGTTGCACAGGTATCCTTGGGGATCTTTGGGCAGTGGTCATCAGGGTACAGAGGAAGTTGGGAGCCTCCTCTCCCTGAGGATCCTCTGTTGTCATCCATGCCAGGGGACCAGTGTGTGCCAGGCGGCTGCAATGGGTGGCGCCATGGTCCTGCTGTATGCCAGCCGGGCCTGCTACAATCTGGCAGCCCTGGCCTTGGCGCCCCGGAGCCGGCTGGATGCCTTCGATTACGACTGGTACAATGTTTCTGATCAGGTGAGTGTTAGGCCGTTTACCAGCTGTGGCACCTGCTCCCAAGCTGGCCTTGCTCTGTCATGGTGCTCCTCGAGTAGGATTGCAGACTGGCACAAGCTCCTGCCTTCCCACAGGCGGATCTGGTAAATGACCTGGGGAACAAGGGCTACCTGGTGTTTGGCCTCATCCTCTTTGTGTGGGAGCTCCTGCCCACCACCCTGCTAGTGGGCTTCTTCCGTGTGCATCGGCCCCCGCAGGACCTGGTGAGGATCTCCATTCCCCTCGATGGGGCTAGTGGAAAAGAATGGACCCTGGGAATCCTGGGCAGGGGTCCGGGGACACCTGTGGGGGATAGGAGAAAGCACTGACGACAGTGACATCCCTCCCCCCCCCCAGAGCACCAGCCGCATCCTCAATGGGCAGGTCTTTGGCTCCCGTTCCTACTTCTTCGACCGAGCTGGGCACTGTGAGGACGAGGCCTGCTCCTGGGAGCATCGCCGGGGGGAGAGCACCAGGTAGGAGTCCTTCCTGGCTCCTGGCCTGCTCCATCAGCGGTAGGATTGGAGAGCCATGTCCCCCAGCCCCCACCCCACACCTAGCCGTTGTTTCCCCATCTGTTTCAGGTGAGGCCCCCTCTGGGTTCCTAGTGCTAAGTCCTCCACCTCCCTCCCTGGATGCAGTTTACCCTGGACCCAGGGGGGCGGGGTTGTAGGGATTCTGAGCCTCTCTTCCCTGCCATTCTCGTGAATGTGGCTCTGGTCACTGCCCTGGGACTGACCCTGCTTCTCTGCCTGCAGCATGTCGGGCAGCCTAGGCTCTGGCAGCTGGTACGGCGCCATCGGGCGTGAGCCAGGCTGGTGTGGGGGCAGCCAGACGAGGACCACTCCTCTGCTCTTCTCCCAGGTGCCAGGACCAGGCGGCCATCACCACAGTCTCTACTCGACCCCACAGACGTGACCCCCCTTGTGCTCCCCCCCAGAGCACTCAGACCCCAGTCCCCCTCACCCCAGGCCCCTGTGCCACGTTTATCTGCCGCTTCTTGCCCAGAATCCTGGGGGCCATGACAGCCACCCCCTCTGGCCGGCTCCTTGCTGCTCCTGTTGTAGTGAGCTAGTGCCGTTGCCCCGAGGATGGGAGGGCGCGGCCCTAGCTGCCAGATGCCTACAGCGCCCTGGCATGACCTGCCACCTCCGCTTCCACACTGGAGCCAGCTACCTCTCCTGTGCCTGCCACTCAATAAAGTGTCTGTGCCCCTCTTCTGTTCACCTGTTGCATCTATGTTTTGGGTTGTTCTCACCTTTGCCTGTGTGGTCACAAGCTGATCAGACTCTGGCCCTTAAAGTGGGCTGCTGGGCTAGACAGGGCTATTCACGTCACCAAGGCTGGAGGGCACAGAGAGGGAGGGACCTGCAGCCATCAAGGGGAGGCTGCACATGCTTTGGTTCTAGAAGCTCTTCTGGGGTAGGTTCCTCCCATTCCTAACAATTTCTTCTCTTTTGTAATATCTTCCTCAAGATTCCCCCACCCCCGTGGTTCTGAGAATTGAACCCAGGGGTGCTCTACCACTGAACTACATCTCCATCCCTTTTTATTTTATTTTGAGATAGGGTTTTGTTAAGTTGCCCAGTCTGGCCTTGAACTTGTGATCCTCCTGCCTCAGCCTTCTAGGTAGCTGGGATTACAGGCATGTCTTACTTTTTTATTTTCCCTTTTTTAAAATGGGCTCTCACTGTATTGTCCAGGCTGGCTCTGAACTCCTGGACTCAAGCAATTCTCTGGCCTCAGCCTCATTGCAGGTAGCTGAGACTAGCCACCATGCCCAGCCCACAACATCTCCCTGGGGCTGGGGCTGTAGTTCAGTGGAAGAGCACTGGCCTAGCATGCACAAGACCCTGGGTTCAGTCCCCTGCACTGCCCTCCCCCAAATCGCATATTTTATGAAGCTGAAGCCTTCCATTTTTTGGTCAGGAACTAAAGCCCTTCTCCTGAGCCCCAGTGCACTGTGGTTATGTGACTGGTGCATCAAAGTGATGGGGTTTGTGGAGGCCTGGTTGGTTTCTCTTTCACCACTCCTAACCTAGCCTTCAGGTGCCAGGGCTCAACGAGGACTGACAGAGAAGGTGTTGATGTGGGATAGAACAGTATCTGGCTCCCAGTGAGGTGTGGGTTTGCCAACATAGGTGGGCTGCCTGGAGGATCCCCTTCTCTGGCTGCCCTAATAGCATAATCCCTGCTCTGTTCCTGCCTCCCTGGCAGATCTGTCCGGTAGCTGGGAGTTATTAGAGGTCTGATTCTTGAGGGTTCCAGCTCCTCAGAATCCCCAGGGTCTAGCACTAGCTTGCCTTGAAACCTTGTGCTTAGGGTTGTTCTGGGGGCCAGGCCTGCAGGGCCCCTGCAGAGCTCCTCTGAGAACCAGAGAATTAGATGGAAGTTGGACAATCACTTTGCATTGAAAGGAAAGTTGCTGACATTTCTAGGACACTTGATTGGGCRGCCAGGCTCTGTTTTGAGCATTTATAAACGCTGACCTCTCCAAGCCCTGAACAGCACCTGAAGTGATAATTAATTATCCTTTTTCTGAAAGTGTGAACAGGGACACTCCAGAGAGCTTGCTAACCTATCCAAGGCCCTACCAGTAGGGGGCAGTGGGCCTTAAAGCCCAGGTCTAAAATCACTCACCATGAGAGCAGAGGACCCCAGGAGGCAAGAGGAGGGTCTTGGGTGAGCCCAGAGGTTGTAAAGAAGCGGGTGAGAGCAGGGTAAGGGAAGGTTCAAGACCCCCCTACCCCCCACCCCGCCCTTGGCTGTTCAGACAGATGGAAGATAATACTGGCACCTGCAGCTTAGGCCCCTGGGGCTGACTCCTGGGCATGGCCTTGGAAACCAAGGGCTGGGGAAAGGAGAAGAGGAGTAGGAGAAGGCCCACTGCAGTGACTTCTCAGCTGGGGCCCAACCCCCATCATTGGCCAAATTCAGGTGGCCTCATGGCCAAATCCACTGAGCTCAAGGGACAGGCTGTCCCCAGGGATATAGACCAGGGCCCTTCCCAATCCTGTAATGGTCTTGGAGGACGCCAGGAGATTAGCGTGGTTCCTGTGGGCCAACTGATGCCCAGGCCAGGGCGGCCACTGGCCACCCTGGGCTCTTGTCTGAGATTAGAGGGTTGGACCCAGAGCGACCCTTCTCAGGCTTTTCTGCCATCCACTGTCGCCGGCTAGCGAAGATCTGGGAGCCAGGCGGCCGCAGGTACAGGGTTTAGTGCGAGAGTGGTGGCGGGGAGTGCCGGTGGCTAGGGCGCGGCACTGAAGAGAGGAGCGGCGCTGGAGGGGTTAAAAGCGGGAGGAGGGGGCTTCAGGCGGGAAGGGAGGGGGTCCCAGCCCGRGCGGCCGCCCGCTCCGCCCCTGCTGCCGCCGCCGCCTCCGCGGCCCAGCCGGCACCGGCGAGGCGGCGCGGGAGCCCCGGCTGCAGCCGCAGAGGGGCCGACAGTAAGTGCGGGGCGGGCGCAGGGATGCAGGGAGGACTCCTGGGGATCGGTGCCCGGAGGGGGCGCGTGACAGGCCCGCTGGACGCCCACCTCCGGCGGGTGGACACCTCCGGGAGGGGTGCTTCCGCGTGTCGCGCCGCCCGTCACGCTCCGAGGCGTTGGCGGGAGGACGCGGGGGAGGCGGTGGGAGCAAGCTGCGGGAGTGCAGCGTGTGGGGTGGAGGGCGCTGCGCGGTGGCCCTCGTCGGTGTGTGTGCGCACTTGTGCGTGGACCTTCTGGGGTACCGAGGCACGGGCGAGCTCTCCCAAGGGAGTCCAGTGTGCCCAGGGGCGACGGGTGTGTGCCCGCGGAGTACGCGTGCAGCCTGGGCAGTGCGGCGGGCTGGAGCCGCAGGGTGAAGCGTGGGAGCGCGGGTCTTTGTGCCCGCGTGTGGTGGAGCATGTCAGGGCGAGTGTGTGCGTGTGTGTGGGCGCCGCCTCCTGCTGTCCCGGGAGCTGTCAGCTTTCGGGGGCTGCTGCATCGGTCAGGCCCTTCCCGCCCCGCGCCTGGTCCCTTCCAGGAACCCTCCCTCTCCTGGCTCTCAGCCTCTCCACTGCGCTGCGGCCGGGACCCGCCCCTGGGTTCCTCGAAAGTCTGGAGGGGTGCTGGAGGGGACCCTAGAGGCTCCCTGCCTGGCCCGTCGCAGCTACCCTGGGAGCCAAGAGAGGCGGGAAGAGAGGGAGGCGCAGCGGAGATGCTGCCGCAGCCACAGCGGGCGAGCCGTGCATGGACCATCCGCGTCCCCGCCCTGCGCACCCAGCCTCGCCTCCCCCTCTGCCTTCCTGGGAAAGCCGGTTCCCTACGCCCCCGCCCCAGGCCTTCGGCATTCCTCAACACCCATCCTCTCCCGAGGCAGGCTGTCTCTCCTACCTTCTCCCTTCCTGATGCSCTCCTTTTCTCACACCCTGGAGCCCCTGGACAGGGGCTGAGGGCCAGGCAGTGGAGGTAAGAGGGAGGGTGGAGGTGGGAGGGCTGGGTGTTCCTTCCTACTAGTCGGATTTGAGGGGTACAGCCATGTATAGAAAAGCTGGAGGTTTTGAGGACCTTGGGTATGTAGAGGATCAAGAAGGAGGGTGTGGGTTATCAGGCCAGTTTATTGACCCTGGCATCCCTGGTTCTGCCCGCAGTGACCGCCGCTCCCCAGGAGCCCCCTGCCCCACCTCCCCAGGCGGGCAGCGGAGCTGGCACTGCCCCTGGGCGTGCCATGCGCAGCACCACACTACTGGCACTGCTGGCGTTGGTCCTGCTCTACTTGGTGTCGGGTGCCCTGGTGTTCCGGGCCCTGGAGCAGCCGCACGAGCAGCAGGCCCAGAGGGACCTGGGGGAGGTCCGAGAGAAGTTCCTGAGGGCCCATCCATGTGTGAATGAGCGGGAGCTGGGGGACTTCATCAAGGTGCGTGGGGGGGCCAGGGCCCCTTCAACAGACCCCCACTAGGTCCCTGTGCTGGGGTGCTGCTTCCAGATGCGTACCCCTAAAGACTGGGTACAGCTGGGGTGGGGGGTGCTTGGCAGAGACTGGGATCCAGATCTCGGTTTTCAATATGGCGCCCACCGGGTCCTTTGTTTTGCTGGCGGTGCCTGGCACCTTGCTGTGCTCCTGGAATGTCTTCTTGAGTGTTCGTGGGTAATTGAATGAAGGAAAAATGAATGAATAAATGGCTGGAGCACATGGGGTGTTACTTTTGCTCTGGTCAATTCATCCCATTAGGTTGCCAGTTAAAATCCAACAGGCCCAGTTCCACGTGAATTTCAGCTAAACAACCAATGCCATTTTAATATAAGTATGTCCCATGTAATATTTTTACTTCCTAAAGCTGGCAACCCTCCTCCACTGGCTTCTATACATTTTTGGAGTCACAGATGCCTTAGAGAAGCCCAAGAACACTGTGAACACTTCTCTCCATCCCCCAAGTGTGCATAGAAGCATACACGGATGATTCTGGAGTATTCCTGTTCTGGCACTGGGGAGAGGGGTTAGGGACCCCTTCCCYCAAGACACAGGCTTACCATAGCAGACAAGTGGGTAGGGCCAGAGCTCAGCTTCCCTGAGGCACTTTGGTCAACCTCCATCATTAAGGAAAGCTCTGAGCTTCAGCTTTCTGGGTTCAGTTGAGGAGCTCCTCTCCTTTCTCTGATTTCTGAGTCACTGTCATATGACAATCTATGATTTAACTTTAATAAATTAATAATTATTACTTTACTGATGAGCACCCCTGTTCCCAGCCTGTTCTTTGTTGAGGGAGGGGCTTCTGTTGGGGAGCCTCAGCATTCCAGCACATTCCCAAAGTGGCAGGAACCAGGGTAGAGATGAGGTGGGGAGGGGCCAGCCAGGACCCAGGTGGCCTGACATGCCTTTGACACTTCCAGAAAGCAGGACAAGGCTGAGAGGCCTGGGCGGCAGAGAGTGTGTCTGGCCAGACCACAGGGCAGAGGGAGGGAGGGAATCTGACCTATTTTATTTGCACAATGGAACTGCTTTTTTCCTGGATAAGAAAGAAGAAAAGGAGGGGCAGGACCCACCCAGAAGGGAGGGTGGTGGCAACTGCTTTACTTCTTTTCCACTATAAGAGTTAACTCTCTGAATTAGTCAGTTGTGCAGCAATTGGACACCTACTGTGTGCTAGCATGGGTTGTGTTGGGCAGGAGAGTGGATCTGGGGGTGGAGTATATGCAGACTCTGCCTTGGAAAACGCCACATCTAGGTGAGGAGAGAGGTCCAAGGACAGACCGGTCACTGTACAGTGCATGGAAATGGAGCATCCTCTCCTTTTTTAAGCACTCATTCTGGGCTGGGTGCAAGGGGGTGAGAAGAGAGATTCAGGGGCCTTGGGGATAGTTGGCACATGAACAGAGCCAGGTGAGAGGGATAGAGTTTAGCGACTGGGGACAAATCACTCCCAGTTGAACAGCATGGGCAAGGGCGTGGAAGCTGGAAAGCTCTGGAGGGTTTTGCAGAACCTGAAGTTAGCAGATGCCTAGTCATTTGAAGTAGAAATTAGAACACAGGATGACGAAGGACTTTTTCCCCCTAAGTGGTTAATTTATTGGAAAAGTGTTGCAAAATAAAAGTTAAATCACTTTTAATTAGTATTTCACCTCTTGCTTTTATTTTAAAATCATCATTAAAGGAAATGGAATAATCTTAGAGAATCTGGGGGGAAGGCTGCTGTAACGTGGGGTGACAAATCAGAGTCCCAGGAGAGAAGACTGGGGAAAGAGGGTGATTGGGACCAGCTTGAAAAGGGGTTTGTGTGCTGATCTGGAGAATCTAGGCTCTATTCTAACAGAAGCTGTTACTTTAGTAAGATGAATTTGGAAAGGGTCTTGCTAATGAGAACTRTAGTCAGGGAGAAAAGAGATGGCATATGCCAGACACTGCCCTTGTGCTCCTTGGGGAAGGTCCCTCTGCACAGCTACCTCCTTATGCTCTGACCTCCCATCATCTAGGGCAAGCGCTCTCAGAACACAGACCCTGTCCAGCGAATCTGCAGGCTAGCAAGAGGGGCAGACAAATGGACACTTCATTCATTCTCTAATGTTTATTGAGCACCTGGTATATAACTTCAGTGTGGTGTGCATGTGTGAACATCCTAATATTGGAAGCAAAATTTGCCAGTATAAGAACATTTTTGGAGGGAAAGTCCCTAACTTTCTTTAATTATCTAAGCCAAGGGACTCAAACTGAGTCTCCACAGGGGCAGTGGGAGTGGTGGGGTCTGTGGAAATCTGGAAATCACAGGATGAGATTGCCACGTGGGAAGTTATCCAACAAATACACCAGGCTTACTCTGTTCTAAGTGCTTTAACTCTTGGGGACAAATCTGTAAGGTTGGTACTGTAATCATCACCAGTTGATAGATGCAGAAATGGAGGCACAGAGGGTCAACTTGCCCAAGGTTGCACAGCTCCAAGATTTGAACCCAGGGAGTCTGGTCCCAGGGTTTCTATTTCTGACTGTAAAATTAGCAATCTATTGTGTGAAACTAGGAGTCTGGTGACTCGAATGTTCCTGAAACATTGTGGAGGTCCCACAGACTTGCCTGCAGGTGGATTAGCTACCCAATTTGCATCCTTGGCTGTAAGGGACCATATTCAAGGAGATGAGAGGGAAGGGGAGAGGCGTGGTGGGGGATACCACCCTAGAGGCTGGTGGTGCAGGGATTTGGCCCAGATAGGAAGGAAGGACTGAGGTTCCTCCTTCTGTGCCTTGTCCTGCAGGATGTGGCTAATGCCCTGGGAGGGGGTGCAGACCCAGACACCAACTCGACCAGTAACAGCAGCCACTCAGCATGGAACCTGGGCAGCGCCTTCTTTTTCTCGGGGACCATCATCACCACCATCGGTGGGGGAGGAGATGCAGCATGTGGAGGGGGGCAGGGGCAAGGAATTTCCTTATGGGGGAAGATGCAGGGAGAGGCAGAGGGGGCCGCCGACAGCACCTAGACTCCTTGCACCACCTCTCTGCCCAGGCTACGGCAATGCAGCCCTGCGCACAGATGCTGGGCGCCTCTTCTGCATCTTCTATGCGCTGGTGGGGATCCCGTTGTTTGGGATCTTGCTGGCAGGGGTCGGGGATCGACTGGGCTCCTCCTTGCGCCACGGCATTGGTCACATCGAAGCAATCTTCCTGGTGAGCTACTCCACATCCTTCCTACCCTCATGCTGATCTGGGATTGCCTTCCTTAGGTACCTGCCCRGGAGCACACACCCTCAGATGGCACAAGCTCCTGGGGCTGGGGCGGGGGGATGGGCGTAGAGGTTGTTGGTGTCTCTGTGGTCCTGCCTACCGCCCCTCCCTGCAGAAGTGGCATGTGCCACCAGAGCTGGTGCGAGTGCTCTCTGCGATGCTCTTCCTGCTGATCGGCTGCCTGCTCTTTGTCCTCACGCCCACATTCGTGTTCTGCTATATGGAGGACTGGAGCAAGCTGGAGGCCATCTACTTTGTCATAGTGACGCTCACCACCGTGGGCTTCGGTGATTATGTGGCCGGTGAGGCTGCCTTTCTTTCTTTCTTTTTTTTTTTWAATAGTTTTTATTTGTTGATGGACCTTTATTTTATTTATTTGTATGTGGTGCTGAGAATCGAACTCAGTGCCTCACGCATGCTAGGCAAGCGCACTACCGCTGAGCCACAACCCCAGCCCGAGGCTGCCTTTCCCTATCCACTTTCTTCTTGTCAAAGAGCTCTGCACTCTCCCCTCTCTGAATTCCAGGAGACACATTTGCTTCTACTCCTAAATCCATCAGGAATGCACCATCACAGTCTTCCACTCATGCGACACATTAACATGCACATTGACAACCCTGCATGTGTGGGTCCCATGTATCCTCATACAAATAGTGCACCTTGCCCACATCATGTTCTTGCATGAGATCAGTGCTGCTTGCATGGTGTTACCTTGCATGCCTTCAGCTTGTACACGCTGATCTTCCTGCACACAGTCACACACTCTAGCAGATCCCCTTTCTCCTAGGAGGGCGTGCTCTCTCAAGGAGCTTCGAACCCAGGCATTGAAGCCCAGCAGTGAACCTGGGCTCACAGGCTTGCCCCCAAATCAACTTCTTTCCTTCTTCCCTGGGGCTATTCCAGGCGCTGACCCCAGACAGGACTCTCCAGCCTACCAGCCACTGGTGTGGTTCTGGATCTTGCTCGGCCTGGCCTACTTTGCCTCGGTGCTCACCACCATCGGAAACTGGTTGCGAGTGGTGTCCCGCCGCACTCGGGCAGAGGTACGAGCTCTTGGGTTGGTGTAGCACTAGTGTGCATTGCACTCCAGTAGCTCGTTGGCCAGTCTCTCTCCCTTCTAGAGTGTGGTTTCTTCACACTAGGTCTTTCAGGCACAGACTGAGACCCCATATGTGTCCTGCTGGAAGCAGAGCGGTAAACTCAGATTTGAGTTTACTAGCTCTCTGCCCTCATGGAAAGGGTTGGCAGATTTCTGCAAATAAACATGGAGAAAGTCATGGGTTTTAAGGAGGCTGTTGAGAAGGCTGAGGCAGGAGGAAGCCTGGACGATTTAGCCAAGACCTTGTCCCAAAATGAAATAAGAAAGGCTGGGGAGTACCTCAGTGGTAGAGCACTTCCCTAGCACATGTGAGGACTTGGCATTTGTTCAGTAACAAAATTTTACTATATGTCTAAAAAATTGCAAGAGATATACTATTCYAAAAATTTATTTGCTATTTATCTAAAATATACATTTAAGGGGCTGGGGTTGTGACTCAGGGGTAGAGCACTTGCCTAGCTTCTGTGAGGCACTGGATTCGATCCTCAGCACCACATGAAGATAAATAAATAAAGGTATCGTGTCCATCTACAACTGAACACACACACACACACACACACACACACACACATTTAACTTGTGTTTTGCAACCCTACTGAGAGCAACCAGCAGGACAGTGGTGCAAAGCTCTCCCAGTACTGGAGGGGATTCTGAAATAAACATGGGGTTTTCTAAAAGGTGATTCGGGGCTGTGCCAGAGGGGAGAGCATGAAGCCTAGGCGAGGAGCCCGATCCTCCRCCTGCTGAGTCTGGAGGACGGGGCAAAAGGAATCCCGATGGCTGGTTGGAGAAGGGACAGGCCCCCGGGGTTGTAGAGCAGGTCAAGGACCCCTGGTCGAGGATGACTTTTCCTCCCCGCGCAGATGGGTGGCCTCACGGCGCAGGCTGCCAGCTGGACTGGCACAGTGACTGCGCGGGTGACCCAGCGAGCCGGGCCCACTGCACCASTGCAAGAGAAGGAGCCGCCACTCCTGCCCCCACCGCCCTGTCCAGCGCAGCCAGTCCTCAAACCTCAATCCCCTTCACCCCCGGAGAAGGTCCAAACGCCTTCCCCGCCGACAGCCTCCGCCCTGGACTACCCCAGCGAGAATCTGGCCTTCATCGACGAGTCCTCGGACACGCAGAGCGAGCGCGGCTGCGCGCTTCCTCGAGCGCAGCGGGGTCGTCGCCGTCCCAACCCACCCAGGAAGCCAGCGCGACCCCGGGGGCCCGGACGTCCCCGAGACAAAGCCGTGCCAGTATAGGGGCAGGATCCCTGGCCTCTCAAAGGACTTTGTTCCTGCTGTGTCCCCGGCATGCTTGGCTTGTTTGACCAAAGAGCCCTCTTTCAATGGGACTGAAGCCTGGGAGGAGGCTACCGGTTGCCAGCGACCTCTCGCCCTGGCCCCTTCCTCACCTCCATCCATTTCCAGACCCCCAAGCCTTTTCTGTCTCGCTGCTCTGGCCGGGCCTGTCCCTCACAACACCTCACGACTGTGCCTCAAAGCCTGCATCAATAAACATCAGTCTGCACCGCCGCGGGCGTGCGCTCGGGCATGCGGGTGGGTGTGGCAGTGCTTTCCTCGGGCCACCGTGGGGCCTCCCGTGGCCCTCCCGTGGCCCCGGGCTGAGGACCCCGGGCCATCACTTCGGACAAATTGGGTTGCACTTAGGCTCCAGTCCTTCCTGGAGGAGACCGGGTAGGGTCCGGCGTGGGAACCCACCGAGACCAGCTGGAGTCTCCAACCTCAGCACCTGGAAGAGGGGTGGGTGGGGAGGGATGGGGGAGCGGTGGGGCATCTGGWGTGGAGGGCTGTGGTCTGGAGTCTCCGGCAAGAGACCCGCTATTCCGGAAGGACACGCTGCCCCTCCCCCCTCCTGGAGCGTGACTCCCCGCCCTGAGGCCTGTGGCGACAGTGTCCGTTAGGGCTGAACCATGGAGGAAAGGCCTTTAAAAGTAAGGACTTTCCCGGACCCCTACCCGTCAGCCCCCCCCAAGTTCACCCTAGGTCCCATCCAGGCCCCTGGTGTCACTCTCAGCCCAGGCTCCGAGCTGCTCCCACCCATCCCCAGATCCCACAGAGTCCCAACCGGGTCCACTCAATGTCCCCGCCCCAGCCTGCCCTCCCTCCCCGCCCGGCTCCCSGCCACCCTTGGCTTCCCTCGTTGTGTGTGGCCCACAGGCGTCGTCCAAGTCTTCACAACGCCGCGGCTCCGAGAAGCTGAGCCCCCACCCCGACATTCGGAATTTGTGGACCATGGCCTCGCTGTCCGAGACACAAATGAACGTGCCGCTGTCCCAGGTCTGCAACAAATACTACGAGGAGGTCACAGTCCCGGGCGACAAAACTCGCCGGCGGGCCAGCTTGAAGGGCCGCTGGAAGGACGATGGAGAGTCCCTTTCTCTGAGGGACAAGGTCAGCTTCAAGACAGAGAATATGGAATTGAGCTCTGGCACCTCCCAGCAAAACCATGTGGATGAGAATACCAATTCCGAGTTAGGTCAGTGTGGCCTCGCCAGGTTGTGGGTGCCCCCAGGGCAGGAACTGGCCAAGGCCCCAATTTCCCTTGCTATAAAATGGGGGTGGGGGTAAGCTGAGAGGATCCAACTTTCCAGGATTGCCTGGGAGGGGCGCCAGGACGACTTTAAATCAACCAAACATTCCTGGAGCGCCCCCTACCGGGAAGGCATCTTACCAAACGCAGCTCTAGAGACTGCACCAAAAAGTTCCAAGTCAGACTTGTACCATCTTTTAAAATTTTTTGGGTACTGAGGATCCAACCCAAGACTTTCAAGCATTCTGGGCAAGCACTCTGCCACCAAATACATCACTACCTCCCCTCCAACCCCCAACCCTCAYCCCTGCCCCAAGGCACTAGGAATTGAACTCTAGCGCTCTACCACCGAACTACATCCTCAGYCCTTTTTATTTTGAGACAGGATCTCCCTAAATTGCCCAGTTTGGCCTYRAACTTACTAATCTTGAGCCTCAGCCTTCCCATAGCTGGAATTACAGGTGTGCATCACTCTGTCTGGGCATTGGTTACAATTTTAAGCATCTAGCACATGCCAGATACTATTTGGGATTTGCCTCTGACCTCTGCACTTTACCCTTTCTACTTTGATCATGGAATTAGAACCAAGAATATAACATAAGAATTAATACATACTGAGTCCTGGCTCTGTGCCAAACACAGGACTTTGCTTGTATTGTCACCTTTAAACTTCATGATCTCCATAGAGGCTTGCTTTATATATTTATTTCTGTATTGGGGATTGAACCCAGGGTGCTGTATAACTGAGATACACCCCCAGTCCTTTTTTTTTTTTTTTTACTTTGAGACAGAGTCTCACTAAATTGCCAAGGCTGGCCTCAAACTTGCCATCCTTCTGCCTCAGCCTCCTGAGTCACTGGTGTTATAAGTGAGTGCCACCATGTTGGGCTAAAAACCACTCTTTTCTTTTTCATCTTCTTTTTTTTTTTTTTAGTTGTGGACCTTGATTTTATTTATTTACATGTGATACTGAGACTGGAACCCAATGCCTCACACATGCTAGGCAAGCACTCAACCACTGAGCCATAACCCCCGCTCCTGCAGTCCACTCTTATGACACCATTTTACAGATGAAGAAAATGAGGCCCAGAAAGTTTAGTCACTGGCTTTAAGTCTCACAGAGTGGGGCAGTAAGAATGAAACCCATGTGGGTGGGATTCTTAAAGCCTAGGATATAACCATTGTCCCATACTATCTCCAATTAATGTAGCCCATGGAGCTGGTCTTTGAACCCCACTTCCTCTCACCACATGCCTACCCATACATCTCTGCTCCAGGGAAACCCAGGAGTCTGTGGATAATTGACCCTCTTTTTTCTTTTCCCAGAAAGCTCTTCCTCAGTATCAGTGATCAGTTTCTCGAAGCACATGCCCCATCGAGCCTACTGGGCAGAGCAACAGAACAGGGTTGGAGGGGCCCAGGGAAAGGGGTAGGGGGTGTTATGGGGTGGAGGATGGATAAGTTGAGGGCTGCAGCTGTGAAAGGGTGGGGGTGGCTGGCAGGTTGGTCAGGGGTCTTGGGGCTGCAAGGATGGGGGGCATTTCAGCTGTGGGCAAAACTAGGGTCCTCAGAATGCCTGAGCCTATCACTGCTTTTCCAGCTTCCGCTGCCCCTGATGGAACTCATGGAGAATGAAGCTCTGGAAATCCTCACCAAAGCCCTCAAGAGTGAGCTCCCCTCCCCTGACGACTTCCAGACACACACACACACACACACACACACACACACACACAAGATCCTGGTGGATTTTACAGGGTTTAGGTCTGTGGGAGTGGGGTTCCAGGATGTGTATACGCTGGCAGATCCTCTTAGCACTCAAAAATACCCGAAGGGCCCTTCAAAAGTTAAAAGTTGAGAAGCCAGATACAAGAATACCCAAGGAGGAAGGCATGGGGTGACCATTTAGTGGAGCTCCATTTAATGGAGCCCTCTTTTTAGCTAGTCCGGTTTTACAAGGCGGTTTCTCTATCTGGCCAAGAGAATGACAGCTTTTCTGTGACTCTGGCTCCCTGCCAGGTGGGGGAGCTGTGAGGACTCAGTGGATTATTTGGGTAAACTTCTCCTGTTTATGATATGAACGTGCAGCTGGAAGAAGGGTCAAGACGTTTAATTACAGTAGGCGGTCCAGGTGTCCACCAAGCTGCAGGCTCCCATCTCTCTGGTTCTGGCCTGCAGCTAATTCTCCAGCCTTAACACTCAGTACCGGGGAGATCCAAAGTTCCCAGTTCCTCGAATCACACATGAGGCGCCTGCTAGTGGGGGGGCCTTGCTGGAGCTCACAGAACTGAGCCAGTTCTGCCCTCCTCCAAGGCTACCGGTCCGTGATCGGCAGGGACCATTTCATGACTAAAGAGCTGCAGCGATACGTCGAGGGGCTCAGGAGGCGCAGGAATAAGAGGCTGTACTGCACTTTTCAGTGAACTCCCGACTCCAGCAGCCGCCTGACTCTAACCCTTGCCCTGCCCTGTCCTGTCCCCAGACCCAACCCCATCCGCGTGGAATTTTAGCCCTAGAGAAATTAAAAGAGTCTATACGTGCTTTGTGAGTCAGTGCGTGGCTTCCCGCGTGAGGCGGACGCACGTGGCCCCGCCCTTCCCGGTGACCTTCATTCGGTCACCGCAGTGACCTTGAGTTTTCTGTGTCCGGGTCTTAACGGCCCCGCCTTCCAGGGACTCATAGTCCAGGGATACTTGCATGTTTAAGGTCAGCTTCTCCCACCCTGGGTTCCGCAGCTTTATGGGGATATTGAGTGTGCGGTTCAAGTGCCCAGCAGGCGTTATCTTGGGGGAAGGGGAAAAAGAAAAAGGGGCAGCGCCCCCGTCGCTGTTCTAGGTTCCACCCCTCATGCATATGCAGATACCCCAACCTCTCCGTTCGTCCCGCCTTCTCATTTTCATAAGGATTTCGTCTCCCACGGCAGCTGCGGCCACTGATCAACCTCGCCCACTCCTTCCGCGCAAAGCGCGCCCCGCCTCCTTCGTTACGAAAGGGCGCTCCAGGCCCACCCCCACCGGGCTCTAATCCCTGAAGTTCGTCCGCATCTCTGGCCCCGCCCTCTAGGCGGCCCYGTAGGCATGTGCGCTGCTGAGGTTCGGTGGTGGGCGAGACCTCTGTGAAGGCCCGCCTACTGGCTCCGCCAGCTCCGCCCCCGACCCCTCCCGGTACGCAGGCGCTGCCCGCCTCACTTGTCTGATTAGCATAGGGCGCCGGGCCCCGCCCCCTGTTTTGCATGCGCACGGCCGGCCCCGCCCCCGCTGTCAGCTGGAGGAAGCCGAGTAGGAAGCGGCCGCGATGTCCTTTTGTGTCCTACAAGCAGCCAGCGGCGCCGCCGAGTGAGGGGACGCGGCGCGGCGGGGCGGCGCGGCCCGAGAAGGAGGCGGAGGAGTGGCCGCCCGCGGCCCCCGGCTCACCCCGGCGTTCCGGGCCTCTCGGCCCCCATGCCTGCCCGCCCGCCCTGCCGGAGCCCCAGGTCCGGGGGCGAAGGGGAGCGCTGTGGCGGGGGTGGGCGGGCGGGGCGCGGGGGCCATGTGCGAGCGCGGCAGGGAGGCGGGCGGGGGGCGGGCTCCGGCGGGTGCCGGCTCCGGTGCCGGCCCTGTTCACGACCGGAACCTGGTCGAGAGCTAGACTGGGGTCAGGGTCTGATGGGATCCGGCGTCCGGGTCCTGGTGGGCTCTTTGGGTCAGGGTCTGTCTCTGATTTGGGCTGCTGGTCCTGGGCCCGGTCAGTCTTGGGCCTCAGATCCAGCCCCAGGGCAGGGTTCAGTCCGGCACTTGGAGAATGCCGAAGTCCCTGGGGCGGGCTGAGTGGAAGATGGGGAGGGTTCTCTGTCACAGAAGGGGCTCTGAAGACCACGTGGGGGCGCTCGAAGGGGCCTAGGGCCACCCTCTTCTCTGGGTCAAAGGTCATCGCACCGGCGGGGGAGAACTTCTTCCTCCTCGGCTCTCCTCATTTACTTCCTGATAACCTGATAGAGGTTCCCCGCGGGCGGAGGGGGAGGGGAGACTAGCAACTTTAGGCAACTTCCCTGAGGTGTGCGCAGGTTTACGGGGGCGGGGCGGCCCGAAAGGTGGTGGACTCTGCGGCAGCTGGAGTGTGAGAGTGAGTGTGCAGGCCTAGGGTGCAAGGGGGTGGAGCCGCGCCCGACTGTGAGCCTGGGACGGGCATGCTGGGGCAGGAAGGGGGCGGTGTGTCAGGGGTGTTCTTTCTCACAGATCTGTACCTGCGTGTGTGATTGTGAGGAACTGGTGTGCATATGTGTGATATCGGGCTTGAGTGTGAGTTTGTGTCGTGTGTCCTTTGGGAAGAGTGTGAGACAAGTGTGAGATTGAGTGAGGGCTGGGGTTTGGAAAGGGCCATGTGTGTGAAAGTCCCCAACAGAGAAAGCATGTGTGGGCATGTGGTGACACCTGAGAACCCAGGTGAGAGTGTGGACATATATCCACGCCTTTGGGCTTGTGTGCCTCAGTGGACAGCCATATGAGGGGAGACCTCTGAGGTCCTGCTATATCTGAAGAAAAGAATGGAGGTGTCCCTCTTCTGGTGGCTGTGGATTCCAAGGGGGGTTGACAGTTGCCTGGGGACGGAGGTTCCTCTGCCCCCTGATTAGGGTGGGAGTAGGGCTTTCCAAGCCTCTTCCAGGTTCCCAAGAGGGTACCTGCTGTCAGTTACTGGTCCTGGAGGCTCTGGAGACTCTGTTCCCATGGCAACAGCTGGGGGGGCTTTTCTTGAGTAACCTTTCCTTGGACTCTGCCCTCCTCCCTCCCCAGGACGAGCCTGGAAGTCTGGCCCAGGCCCAGGGTTAGGCAACGTGTGTGGCAGGGTGCCTCTCTGTGACCTGACGGTCTCTCACTGCAGGTGACCAGCGCCATGTCCAGCCAGGTGGTGGGCATTGAGCCTCTCTACATCAAGGCAGAGCCAGCCAGTCCTGACAGTCCAAAGGGTTCTTCGGAGACCGAGACTGAACCCCCCGTGACCCTGGCTCCTGGTCCAGCTCCTGCCCGCTGCCTCCCCGGGCACAAGGAGGAGGAGGATGGGGAGGGGGCTGGGCCTGGTGAGCAGGGCAGTGGGAAGCTGGTGCTCAGCTCCCTGCCCAAACGCCTCTGTCTGGTCTGTGGGGATGTGGCCTCCGGCTACCACTACGGTGTGGCATCTTGTGAGGCCTGCAAAGCTTTCTTCAAGAGGACCATCCAGGGTGAGCCCCCACCCCGCTTCTGCATGCTTTTGCCCTTTGCCCTGGCCTGGCACCTCCCAATTGGTACACGGCTAGGTGCAGTAGGTCCTGAGACTGCCAGACACTGTGAAGTTGGCATCTGGCAGGGCTCCTCTTAGAAATGAAATAAAGGCAGCAGCATGTGTGGCGTACTGGAATGGGATGTTAGAGGACATGGCCTAGGTTTCTGAGTGCTGTAGGCCCAGCACCTTCAACAGTGACTCTGAAAAATTCCAAGGCAGCCTCTGCCTGTTCTGAAACTTTGTTCTTGACTTGGTTCCTGCTTCAGGTAGCTTCTACCCAGCAGAGAACATGGCCCCCTTTTCTCAGTTTTTCCGAAGCAGCACCAGTGCAAGGTAGATTTTTCTAGATACCTGAGAGAGGCCACATTGTATTTTAGCTCCTGACTTAAAAGATTGTTAGGGAGTGTGGGGTATGGCTCAGTGGTAGAACACTTGCCTAGCAAGTGAGAGGCCCTGGCTTTCATTCCCAGTACTGAGGGTTGTGTGTGTGGAGAATATTTATATATATATCACCACATAAACACGATCAGGCATTTAAAAGTCACTGGCTTTGGGGGACATGGTGGCACATGCCTGTAATCCCAGTTACTCAGGAGGCTGAGGCAGGAGGATCATAAGTTTGAGGCCAACCTCTGCAACTTAGTGAGACTCTGTCTCAAAATAAAAATTTGGAAGTACTGGGGATATAGCATACAAAAATTCAGAGGGATGGTAGTATAGCTCAGTGGTAGAATACTTGCCAAGTGTGTGCAGGGACCTGGGTTCAAGCCCCAGACAGGCGGGAACTCCAGGGAGTAGGACGCTGATGTAAACATTACCTGGGATGAATGGGCCTGCTAGTTAAGTTGCTATGTGATTTATGTGATAATTGGTTACTTTGGGGCTATACCAGGCACCCTGCCCTTTTGCTCTTTTTTTCGGCTCCCAACCAACCCTATGAGGTGTCAGTGTTGTCCATAGTTGAGGCCTACAGAGATTTTTTTTTTTTTAAATGTTTTTAGTTGGACACAGACCTTCATTAATTTTTAAGGGGTGCTGAGGATCGAATCTGGTGCCTCACATTGTGCTAGGCAAGCGCTCTGCCACTGAGCCCTAGCCCCAGCCCAACCCTACAGAGATTTTTGAAGCTTTGTTCAAGTCTTACAAGTAGAAAATGGCAGAACTAGGATTTGATGTGGGTCCTGAGCTGGCTCTCAAATGCCAGATTGCTGTTCTACTTATTAGTAATAACTGGACTTTGGACCACTGATTGTGATATGCCAGTGAGTCTGAACATGGCTAAAACATGTTGGCCATAAAACTCTGGGCTCCCTGCTAACTCTGAGGACCAGTGAGGCTGCAGACCTAGGTCTAGGTGTCACCTTGGAATCTTTCATCCTGACTGTGGACACATATTTATTGTTAGCTATCGATATAGTCACTTACTGAGCACTTAAGTGCTGTGAATTATGCTAAATATTTTTACATGGATTATCTTCTTTAATTCTTACAACCTGCCTTTACAACAAGTATGATTTTTTTTTTCATTTGGTGCTGGGGATGGAACCCAGGGTCTCGTATATGCTAAGCATGTGCACTTAGTACTGAGCTACACCCCCCAACCCCAAGTATGAGGTTTTTTTCATGCCAATTTGATGGCTGGGAACTTGAATTGAGAGTTCCAGGTGTTAGATCTGGGACTTGCCCAAGGTCACACAGTTGGTAAGGGGTAGTGTTGGGCTAGACCAAGGTAGCCCCCAGAACACTTTGCTCTTTACAAACCAGTGTTCCAGGTCCTGGGACTGAGGCAGAAACAATGAATTGCCCAGAACTGCCCTGTTACACCGTGGCACGTGTTGGAAGGCCAGGAACAGGATGTGGACGGGAAGCCTGGTCTGAGTCTGGGGCTCCAGAGGGCCTCCCTGAGGACAGGTCCTGAGCCAGGTGAAGCCCTAGCAGGGCTAATGTACTAATGGCCTGTTGGCTGGTTAGTGGTGGCCCTGCGAGACTGGGAGAGCGACAAGCTATCAGCATCTTCAGTGTTAGTAGCACTGGGGACATTCGAGGCCCTAGTGGAACTGACACTGAAGTGAGAGAGGTAATACATAAATAGGTTGCTCTGTAGCATCTGAGGTGGCCCCAAGTGCTGAGAGGAATCTTTACAGCAGGGCTCAGGCTGGAAGTGCCTGCAGAGGTGGGATTTGGTATTGTCATAAGTGGCCAGGGAAGGCCTTCCTGAGGTGACAGGGAGGAGGTAGGGGAGGCTGTGTGCCATTAGGACCAGAGCTTGAGGCAATCCCTGTGAAGGCCACAGGTTCACTTGGGCTTTTACTCAAGGAAGTCATTGGGTTTGAGCAGAGGAGGGACAGGAGCTGACACAGGTCTAACAGGATCCCTTAGGCATCGAGCAGGAGGCCAGTGAGATGAGGGGACAGTGACTGGTGTCAAGGGTGGAAAAACAGTAGCTGAGGGCAGGAGTTTGATTCTGGATGGGTAAGGTCAGGCCCCCCGCAGGATTTGCCAGTAGGTTGGACGTGGGTGCAAGGGAGTTGAGGGTGCTGCCCAGCCTTCTGCCTGAGCAACCGGATGAATGCAGTTGCAGGCTTGGGAGTCCGGGGGCCATTTGGGACATGTTAGGGTTGAGAAGCCTCCTAGACGTGCAGGATGTCAGGGGGCCGCTGGATATGAGTCTAGAGCTCAGGGCAGGTGTAAGCCCCAAGATGGGAGTGGGTGGTAAGTGAGGCTGAGGAAGGCCAGCCCTGGGCTGTTCAGTGGAAGGAGCTCGGGAGATTCACAGAAACCACGAGAGGTGGGAGGCAGAGGAGCGAGTGAAGTCCTAGAAGCAAAAGCAGAGTGTAGGAGAGTTTCTAGCACCGAGACCCAGACTGTTAGATGCTCCTCTTAGGCAAGTAAGATGAGGATTGAGAACTGACCAATGAATTGAGCACCCTAAAGGTCATAGTGGCCCTTGATGGGCCCAGATGAAGGCAGTGTGGCCCAGAGGTGTGACCTGACCAGGGGTTTGGGTCAGAGTGGCAGCCTGATTGCCTGTGCCCAGCCCCTCCATTGCCCAAGCAGGGACCCCACCCAGTGGCAGTTCCCTGCCCTGCCCTGCTCATGGCCTCCTGCTCTCCCCTTTCCTCCCCGTACCCCCAGACCTGTGCTTGCCCCGGGTGAGTGAGGGCTCTCCTGGCCGCTGGGCCCACTCCTGGCCCTGGGAGGCCGCCACTGGAGCCCTGCCTCTTCCTGGCAGGAAGCATCGAGTACAGCTGTCCAGCTTCCAACGAGTGTGAGATCACCAAGCGGAGACGCAAGGCCTGCCAGGCCTGCCGCTTCACCAAGTGCCTGCGGGTGGGCATGCTCAAGGAGGGTGAGCGTTGGGCAGGGGCTTGGGCTGGGGATTGGGGCTGGGGGCAAGGCCTGGGAAGTTCAAGTGAATGGGCTGGGGAGGACAGCTCTGCAGGGCAAACCTGCCTCAGCCCCATAACCGCAACCCTGTCCTACAATTCAAGGGGTGCGCCTGGACCGTGTCCGAGGTGGGCGACAGAAATACAAGCGACGGCCAGAGGTGGACCCGCTGCCCTTCCCAGGCTCCTTCCCTGCTGGCCCTCTAGCAGTGACTGGAGGCCCCCGGAAGACAGGTGAGGGCACGGTGGAGCCCTAGGGCTCTGGGGCAAGTTGCCCCCAAGGGCCTGTCAGCATCATTACGGACACTGGACCCGGATTCCACTTTCACTCACTTATTCATTTCCCCAAGGAATATTTGTAAAGTAACTTTTCATGTGTCGAGAACCAAGTAATGTAGCTGGGTCCAGGGAGAGGTTTAATCTCAGTCTGTTCAAGACCGAGTCGCCTGGGGAGGTGGTGAGCATGCTTCCCTGGAGAGAGCTATCTCCCTTCTGGCTAGTGGCTCTCAAGGAAGGCCACAGGGGGACTACCTAGGGAGATGCAATCTCAAGGGGCCTCTAAGGCCTGCTGGATGGGAGTGCTCCTGACAGCCCTCCACCTGTCACTGCAGCCCCGGTGAATGCACTGGTATCTCACCTGCTGGTGGTAGAGCCTGAGAAGCTGTATGCCATGCCTGACCCAGCGGGCCCTGACGGACACCTCCCAGCTGTGGCTACCCTCTGCGACCTCTTTGACCGAGAGATTGTGGTCACTATCAGCTGGGCCAAGAGCATCCCAGGTAAAGGGCCCAAGAGACCTGGGACTCCCCTGAGGCCAGGCCATGTTTGGCTGGGGTCACTCGCTTAGCCGGGCCTGCTCTCCACTGCCCCCCAGGCTTCTCATCACTATCGCTGTCTGACCAGATGTCAGTACTGCAGAGCGTATGGATGGAGGTGCTGGTGCTGGGTGTGGCCCAGCGCTCACTACCACTGCAGGATGAACTGGCCTTTGCTGAGGACTTGGTCCTGGATGAAGAGGGAGCCCGGGCTGCTGGCCTGGGAGAGCTGGGGGCGGCCCTGCTGCAACTGGTGCGGCGGCTACAGGCCCTGCGGCTGGAACGAGAAGAGTATGTCCTGCTGAAGGCCTTGGCCCTTGCCAATTCGGGTGAGTCCAGAGCAGGCATCCAACAGGAATCTCCATGAGGCCCTCCAACTGTTAACTCCATGATGGTGGCACAGTCCCATTTTGCAGATAAGGAAAACTGAGGCTTAGGGAAGACCAATGACTTATTCAAAGTCACAAAGCAAGCCAAGGGCAGGCCCTGAACTGCACACAGGATTTTGAGCCCTAGTGCCGTGCTAACCTGGAAAGGTAAACAGTTTAGTGGGAGGGAAGGTGGGGAGGATAAGAGGTGGCCATAGTTGAGGGAGAAAGGGTGGCTATTGGGTAGGAGCAGTGAGTGGTGCCCCTTAGTCAGCCAATCAGCTAATCCATTTGGCCCTTCCTTAGGCCCATCCAGCAGTGCCCCAGCAGATGTGGGTTCGCCTTTTCCAGAGGCAGCCCAGGCCAATAGCCCTCTCCCCCTCCTTGTAGACTCAGTGCACATCGAGGATGCTGAGGCTGTGGAACAGCTGCGAGAAGCCCTGCATGAGGCCCTGCTGGAGTATGAAGCCGGCCGGGCCGGCCCCGGAGGAGGTGCTGAGAGGCGGCGGGCAGGCAGACTGCTGCTCACCCTACCACTCCTCCGCCAGACAGCGGGCAAAGTGCTGGCCCATTTCTATGGGGTGAAGCTGGAGGGCAAGGTGCCCATGCACAAGTTGTTCTTGGAGATGCTCGAGGCCATGATGGACTGAGGCATGGGGTGGGAAGGGTGGGGGTGCTGGCAGGAACTGCCCAGCATGGGGTCAGCCCCAAGGGGGCAGAGCTGGGGTCTGGGCAGTGCCACAGCCTGCTGGCAGGGCCAGGGCAATGCTATCAGTCCCTGGGAGCAGGCCCCATGCCCTCCTCTCCCCCTCTTAAGGGGGTGTAAAGCTGGGAATGTGAATGCCCAGAGTCTGGGCACAGMGTTGTCCCTTGCAAGCCATAATGTGCCCCCAAGAGTGTAGGGGGCCTTGCGGAAGCCATAGGGGGCTGCAGGGGATGTGGGAGGCAGAAGCCTGATCTCAGGGAGGGAAGGGGATGGAGGCCACAGTCTCCCAATGGGTGATGCTTTTGCTGCTGCTTAATCCGATCCCCTCTCCAGACTAGAGGGGTATTTGGAGAGCAAAGGCCCCTGCCCCCTTCGCTCCTCCTCATTTGCATTGGGCATTAATGCCCCCCCTTGAAGCAATAACTCCAAGCAGGCTCCAGCCCCTGGACCCTGGGGTGGCCAGGGCCCCCCATCAGCTCCCACCCAGCCTCCTCAGGGGGTGGGGAGAGCACTGCCTCTATGCCCTGCAGAGCAATAACACTATATTTATTTTTGGGTTTGGCCAGGGAGGCGCAGGGACATGGGGCAAGCCAGGGCCCAGAGCCTTTGGCTGTACAGAGACTCTATTTTAATGTATATTTGCTGCAAAGAGAAACCGCTTTTGGTTTTGAACCTTTAATGAGAAAAAAAAAAAGATATACTATGGAGCTCAAAACCACTGTGGTCAGTGTGTCATTGGGTCAAGGGCTGGGACTACACACTGTAGAACTAACAAACAGAATATATGTTAACAAAAATACACACGGTCACAAAACGTAAAACTGATGCTGGACACGGTTAAGTCTCGGTTTCCTCATCATTCAGCAGCATGTTGGGAATCCCGCGGCTGATGGGGAACACACGTCCTGACTCCGGGCATTGCAGGGTGCCCTCCAGCACATCCACCTGTGGAAGGGTGGGAGAGGGCTCAGCACTGGCAGCCTCAAGGGCGGGGAGGGAACAGAAGGCGAGGGTCGCTTCTCACCTCCAGCAACACGTGATGCATCTTTCTCAGAAATGTCTCGTCGTTAACGTAGCCCTCAGTAGGCTCTTTTGGCACCTCCACCAGGTGCAACTGCGGGCAAGAAGCCTTAATCATCCCTGGGCATGAAACCCTCCCCACGCCCGGCCAGACGCAGGGCTGCGGGAGGGTACCGGGGGCCGCGGTAAGCCGCCCCCCTTCCGAGGCAGGGACCACGGGGACAGGTGCTCACGGTGTCAGCCGCCTCCAGAAGCGCCGCCCACTCCACCTTGGGTATCATCCGCGCCACGAAGTCTGGGTTGAACTCCACGGGATTGATTCGGACTTCGGTCGCCTGCGGGGCGGGGAGGTCTAATGAGGCCGGGGCTGAACCCGAGTTTCTCTATCCCGCCGGAAGAGGGGCAAGACCCCGGGCTCGTACCTGGAGGCGCAGGGGGAAGCCACGAGGCCCCACCCCCCGCACATGTGAGCTCAGTAGATTGTGGGTGAGCAGCTTCATGTTTCTACCAGGGATCCTCCGCTCCGGAACCGGAAAGAGGCCACTCGGAGTTCACGTAACTTCTGGGGTCGCCGGGTCTTTGGAACTATTGGACGGCCCGAGGAGCGGAAGTGACGAACTTGCTGAAACTTTTCGTGCTTGCAGGAGCAGAGGTACTTGAAAAATCTGGTCCGGTCACGCGCTGCTACCGGAAGCGTCTCGGCGGGAAGTTGCTGCTGCGACGCACAGCARACTCCACTAGCCACAAATCATATGTAACATGCAAATCATATGGAAAGCAGCTGCAGCGCAGAGGCTCTCGTTGAATGTAACATAAACATGTTTTAGGCCTCCACAGGCCCCTGATACTATCACTTCCTGCACCTTGCTTTCGGGTAAGGAACGGACACACTGTATCAGTAAATCAGGTCCATTAAAACAGCAGTAGCTCTTCCTTGCATGCAAATTAGCTGCGCGAACGATGAGTGCTCCGCCCCACTTACACTGCGTCATGGCCCAGCCCCTGACGCACGCGAGCCCGGAGTCCTGGAGCTCCTATCCTCGCGCCGGCGCCCAGGGCTGCGCTGCAGGGGCGGCCGCCGGGGCGGGGCGCCTGAGGCACCGCCTCCAGGAGGGTCCGGGGTGGCGCAGGCTCCAGGCCCCGCCTCGTGTGATGTCTGGGGCAGGAGGGCGGGGCGGCTGTAGGGTCTTAGGGCGGGCATGGGGCCGGCGAACCTGGGCGTGCTGCGACGCCGAGCCTGCTTGGTAGTCACCAGCGCGGCTGTTGCAGAGTCCGCGGCAGCTACAGCAAGACGGCGGCTGGAAGGAGGAGGTTGGGCGCGTGGAGGGGTCCGCAGTTTCAGCAGCACCGCCGCAGCCATGGCCCCGATCAAGGTGACCGTTGGCCCTTTTCCCCGTCCCTAAGCCCGATCCCAGTCCCCCTTATCTGGGGTGACCGTGTCTTTTGCCCTTCGTACCCCCCTCCTCCGCCGTCCTCGGGGACCCTCCTGCCATCTATTCCTTTCATCCCCCCAGCAAGACCCCTCAGCTCCCCCTCAATTTGGAGCCTCGACCCTAATCCCCTGAGACATTCCCCCAGGCCCTCGAGCCCTCCCCTTGTAATCCTCCACAGGCACCGTGCGACACCCAGTGACAGGTCACGGTCGTTTTCAGGGGTTTGAATACCATGGCATCTCTCACATTCTTCCATCTTCGCGGCTGGGCCCCTTTTCAGCTTCTAAGTGTCCTTCACTTCCCCTGCCCCACACTTTTGTGAGAGTGCTGGCACCCCTTCACCCCATCTTCTGAAATAACTGTGGTCCCTCGGAGCCCAGCCATGTCTCCTCGATTCCCCCTCCCCCTCTCCATGGCTGATTCCTACCCTTCACTGTCTTTCACTCATCTTCTGGAACCAACCCAGCTCCTCTGACCTATCCCCTCTGTCTGACCTCTGCTGAGACCCTCTCCATCTTCTACTTCATCCTACTCCAACCTCTGGGGTCCTCAGACTCCCCAACTTCTGAATCTTGCCTTTGCCTCCTCTGGCTCCAGGAATCCCTCACCCACCCCCACGTGGAGAACCCACCCTTCCTCTTCTCTATCCCCATGGGTGTGTGTGGGGGGCCTGGATATCTTCCCTAACTCTTCCACCCCTCTTCGTCTGAGTGACCAGGCCTTCTCCCTCCCGCTTATCAGGACTTCCTCCTCATCCTCAAATGCACCTCTCTGCCCCCTCCCCCACTGTATTCCAGCTGCTCATTTTCACAATTTTGCAACATTTGGAAAGAACTTTCTTTCCTTTGTTACCAAAGGCCAATAAGCAGAGCAGGGCCACCTGGAAAGCAGGAGGATGTTGGGTAACTAGGTGGTATGGGGGAGGGGATCCGGAGTGACTCCTGGTTTTCTGAACTAGCTGATTGCCAGCAGCGCTCTGCATTCCCTTTGGTTCTGGTTTGCTGCACCCCCCCACACCTCCCCTTTGACCTCAAAGTCCTTTTATCCAGGTGGGAGATGCTCTCCCCTCTGTGGAGGTGTTTGAAGGGGAGCCTGGGAACAAGGTGAACCTGGCCGAGCTGTTCAAGGGCAAGAAGGGTGTACTTTTCGGAGTCCCTGGGGCGTTTACCCCTGGCTGTTCTAAGGTGAGACCCTCCCCTTCCTGGGGTCTGGGAGTGGGATCTTTTGAATTGTTCTGAAGTTTTGTGTGTTGCCCCAGGGCATTTTGCTACAAGAGTCTGTAAATGATGCCACAACTAAAAGGGCTTTTCAGTGTCCAGAAAGTACTAGCCTTCAGAGGTGGGAGGAAGGGGCTGCACTTAATCCAACACCTCTTAMCACGCCTGCTGCGTGACAGGCACTGCACAAGATATTTGGGACTCAGGCAAATAATCCTGCCCATGGGAAGTTCAAGGTCTTGACCACAGAACATTTAAGTCTGAGCTTCTGAGTGGTGAAGTCAAAAAGAGAGTTGTTCACACGGCTGTCCTTGCCTGATCCAAGACACTGGATCAGGGAGGGGCGAAGCCTGGAGGTGAGGGTGGGCTGAGGCCCCACAATGTGATCCCTTGGCTGACTCTTTGTTTCCCCTCCTAGACCCACCTGCCCGGGTTTGTGGAGCAGTCTGGGGCTCTAAAGGCCAAGGGGGTGCAGGTGGTGGCATGTCTAACTGTGAACGATGTGTTTGTGACTGGAGAGTGGGGACGAGCCCACAATGCAGAAGGCAAGGTAAGATGAGGAGCTGGCAGGGGTATGGGCCAGGCCCTAGGAGGTTTTTCTTGTGACCTTTACTCTCCTGTCCCTTCAGGTTCGGCTCCTGGCTGACCCGACTGGGGCCTTTGGGAAGGTGAGTCTGCCCCCCTGCTCCGGAGAAGTTCCTGTGGGGAGCCTGGAAGGCAGAACCTGAGGTGTGGGGAGCAGCCCTTGGCCTGTTCTGGGGGTTCCTGATGCATTTCTTGTCTTTCCTCTTAGGAGACAGATTTATTACTAGATGATTCATTGGTGCACCTTTTTGGGAATCGCCGGCTCAAGAGGTAAAAGGGGGAGAGTTCTGCAGGGGCCTTCCCTGGAGCCCTGGCTCCTTGTTCCCTCCGGTCTCCAGGCCTGGGCTGATGCAGCTGCTTGGCCCCTCTTTCCCTCAGGTTCTCCATGGTGACAGAGGATGGCAGAGTGAAGGCCCTTAATGTGGAACCCGATGGCACAGGCCTGACCTGCAGCTTGGCCCCCAACATCCTCTCGCAGCTTTGAGGCCCTAGCCTGGACACACTCCCTCTGCCCTCTCCTGGCTCACCTGCCCAGCTCTACCCCAGCTGGGGCCACCCTGCTGGAACCTTGGCCAGATTTCCGCCATTAAACTCTCCTGGCTCAAGTGTGTCTCCTTGGTGTGCAGACACTGGTTTGCTGAGGGTGGGGCTCATTCCTTAGTCATAGTTAAGCTGAGGCTGTGAGGACAGGGCTGAAGGCCTCTTTATTTGCTTGTTTTCTAATTTTATTTGCTGAGTTCTGGGGTGGAATCCAGGGCCTTCCACATGCTTGGCAAATGCCGTACCTCTGAGCTCCATGCCAGCCCCTGGGAATACCCCCTGAACCTTCCTCCTGGAAGCTGAGAAAGAGCCAGTGTCTAGGGCAGGAGAGGCACCAAGGGAAAGTCCCCAGCAGATGCGAGCTTGGTGCATACCCTGACCAACCTGTGTGTGTGTGCATGTGCGTGTGCGCGTGCTGGGTGTTGGTCAGTTTAATTTATTCCAGAAACCCCAGTGTTGGAACCTTGGCTCTAGGCTTCTACATCAGGGTGACTTCAGCCCCTTCTCAAGCACCAGGACCAGGAAGGCCCCCTTCAGTGCACACCGCTGTCAGCCAGGAGGGCTCCCTGGRCRAGGAGGCTGTAGGTGGAGCCTGACCAGGGATGGGTGGGCAAGAGCCAGGGGCCCCAGCAGCGTTTGGGCCTGGGGCCATTGTGGGCCCTACCTTTGGGTCTGAACATTGCCCTGAACCTCTTAGGGGATCTGGATTTGAGCAGGCTGGCCATGTGCTCTTGTCGCCTGCAGTGAGCTCTGCCTAGTCCATGGCTCTAGAGCAGGCCATAGTCGGGGAGGCCAGGGAGAGGGTCAGGGAAGGACCTCTTAGAGGACCTTGTGGTGGCAGAAATGGCAGAGAAGAGCCTGGGATAGAGTGGAGGGTGGGACAGCTCTAGGCTGTGTAGTACCCAGCAGCAAAGTGGGTGGGGTTGCTGGGAGAGGCTGGTCTTGGGATCTAGGAAGCTGGTAGCAGCCTGTCCCTGCCCTGTGGGCACCTGGGGCCATTGGAAGTTTGTGAATAGCCCTGGGGGTAGGGGTGGCACCAGCAGGGCGTTGAAGGGAAGGCTCCACAGTCTAGTGACGTGGCTCAGGGAGGAGGACCCCTGTGTGTTGGGGCCATGGCAGCAGTAGGCAGGGCTGGTGGCAGTGGTGGGGTCTGTGGGTGGGGCTCTCAGTCAGGGGACACCAGCCACCTTGCGTGGGCCCCGGTGCTCAGCCTCCTGAGCGCCCAGCACTCCCTCCTTGGTCTCTGTGGTTCTTGCCCCAAACTCTCCACCTCTTGTCAAATTCTGGGCCCCAGTACCTGGGGGATTCAGGGAAACCTGAAGTCACTTAGCCAGGGCCGTGTCCTCCGTGGGTGAGACTCCGAAGTCAGTCCCAGTGGGCTTCCTGAAACAGGTTGGGACACMGCTGGCTCCCTTCTAACAACCTGCATGACCTCGGGACCCCTCACGGACTTCACCCCCCACCCCAAGACTGGCCAGATGCCTGAAGGGAGGGGGTGACAGCCCCAGATAGTGAATGGCTGAGCTCCCTGAGCCAAACCAGGAGAAGGCATTACCAAGGACTTGCGAAGGTCACGGCAGGTGCTTCAATATTTTCCTTGGCCCTTAGGTGCTGGGGCCTGAACCCAGAGTCACTTTGCCACCAAGCCATATCCCCAACCCTTTTTGTTTTTTATTTTGAGACAGAATCTTGCTGAGGTGCCACAGCCAGCCTTAAACTTGAGTTCTTCCTGCCTCAGCCTCCGAGGCGCTGGGGGTACACCTGTGCGCCACCAGGGTCTCTGACGCCATGTCCCTTAGTCTTTTTTGGTGCAAAAGAGGGAACTGAGGCTTAGGGCCTCCTGCAGCACTAGGTGGGGTGGTGAGAGAGCCCACCCTCAGCCGGGCGCCCTTTTCCTCTTCTGAGGCTTCATGGCATCTGGCAGCTCCTGCCACCAGGGGAAGCCCAATCTCCATTTCTGTCACTCTAGCCACCTCTGTTTCCTCC